TTCTTCTTCTTCTTCGGTTCAGAACTTCTTCGCTGCCTTCGACAACCCCGTTTTCCTTCTTCTTCTTCTTCTTCTTCTTCGGTTCAGAACTTCTTCGCTGCCTTCGACAACCCCGTTTTCCTTCTTCTTCTTCTTCTTCTTCTTCGGTTCAGAACTTCTTCGCTGCCTTCGACAACCCCGTTTTCCTTCTTCTTCTTCTTCTTCTTCTTCGGTTCAGAACTTCTTCGCTGCCTTCGACAACCCCGTTTTCCTTCTTCTTCTTCTTCTTCTTCTTCGGTTCAGAACTTCTTCGCTGCCTTCGACAACCCCGTTTTCCTTCTTCTTCTTCTTCTTCTTCTTCGGTTCAGAACTTCTTCGCTGCCTTCGACAACCCCGTTTTCCTTCTTCTTCTTCTTCTTCTTCTTCGGTTCAGAACTTCTTCGCTGCCTTCGACAACCCCGTTTTCCTTCTTCTTCTTCTTCTTCTTCTTCGGTTCAGAACTTCTTCGCTGCCTTCGACAACCCCGTTTTCCTTCTTCTTCTTCTTCTTCTTCTTCGGTTCAGAACTTCTTCGCTGCCTTCGACAACCCCGTTTTCCTTCTTCTTCTTCTTCTTCTTCTTCGGTTCAGAACTTCTTCGCTGCCTTCGACAACCCCGTTTTCCTTCTTCTTCTTCTTCTTCTTCTTCGGTTCAGAACTTCTTCGCTGCCTTCGACAACCCCGTTTTCCTTCTTCTTCTTCTTGATTGGTTGATGTTAGGTTTAGTCAATCCTAGAAGACCCACCTAACCCAAGACCATAGTCTAGCCTCCTAGGTTACCCTAGTTTAAACTTATTAATTCATAATCCACTCTAAGTTAAACTAGTCGAACTTATGAATTTATTAACTAATTTAAGGTCAACCTAGAATTAGATGCAATTTAAGCAAACCTATCATGAACCTCGGGAATCATCAAGTATAAATCGCCACCTAGACATCCATAGCACCTAGCCAAGGAAAGATTAGGTCAATTTAGTCAAATCAATATTTAAATAAGAAATTTTAGTCAAGCCAAAATGATTAAGGTAAATTAATTAAATCTCATTAAATCTAAGTTAATTTAATAAGATTCCTAAACACCCAGAGCCTAATCTGCTATCTAAACCCATTAGGAACCCACATGATCAACCATTATAACTCCGCCACTATATGGTAAATCTATAGAATAAATTCATCTTAAGGCTAAACAACATAAACTACTGCCATACTTGGATGAGGACCCCTATCCTCAACCCTTTCACGGTCATGCCTTGCTAAGGCACATAATTACATGCAAACTAATTCAATCCTAAGTTAAAACTGAGGGATAAGAAGAAAAAGAAAGAGCTCAAAAGATGGAGGAATGCTCTTGTTTGAAGCTTTCACACATATCCTATTGTGGCTCAAAAGAGGTAAATGAACAAGAAATAGAACTGCATAATATGAATCATCTTAAGTAGAATAAAATTAAACTCTTAAACATCGAGACCCACATTTTAGTTCAACGGTTGAAATTTCATCAAAAACTCCAATTTTAAAAATGCTCATCTGGGAGCACTCTCAAGATGGGTGACTCCCTGGCAAGTTACACCAATGGGACAAAATCGTGAGGCCAATAGTCCAAAACGGAAAATATCTTAATGAATAAGAGTTTTGGACTGTTACAAATGATATTAGAGTGTTATATTATCATAAAGATGGGAAATAAGCATTATATGGAACAAATTGCTACATTATGGGAGACAACTCTTGAATCCAAAAGGTACAGAGTACTACAATGTGATAAACATATTATATATATGGAGGGGTAGTAACTAAAATCCTATTTACCCGATGGATAATTCTGAGTTCAGAGCACTAATGAGAACATCAATTACTTAAGTGGGAAGATTGCAAAACTCCTTGAGAAGTTTAAAGTTGAACTCTTAAATATCGAGATGTTTTTTGGTGTAATGGTCAAAATTTCATCAAAACCCAAAATTAAACATGCTCGTATAAAAGCACTTTAGAGTGGGTGACATCCTAGATATTCTGCGGATGGGATACAATCACGAGGCCATTAAGAGAGATGTAGAGAGAAAAATATTGCCCAGTGCATCTAACCGAACACAAAGCCCTCCACTCTAATGTTGATCTAAAATTGATTGCTCAATCAACTTCCACCTTTGACTTGTGAAGTTTTCTCGGACAAAAAAATCCATTATGATAAGGATTTTTCAACCAATTTAAATCGTTTATCTCTACAAAAATCAAAGTTAATCATCACTCTAAGAAAAAAATGTTACAATAGTATCTTGATCAGGTGTGACATCAATTCCCAAACAAAAACCGTTTGAGCAAAAAAGTAGATCTCTTCCACTGCACTAAAAGAGAATATAATGCAATAACTACCGGCCTTAATTGAGAGTAACCTCCTTCAAAATCACAATAGAGATGATTAAAAATTGGGTAGTGCTTACACCCATGAGAATCTTTTTGAAATAGGAAGATGAAGTCCTCACAAGAGGTCGATAACTTTGGGTAGTGCTTTATCAATGTTTAATCAAACTCCTAGAGAGAAATGAGCCCCTTCATTTAGAGGGATAAAAAGGGTCAAATGTTGCTCTTTTGAGAGACCAGAATGTTCAACACCATATTTTTTTCATTGTCTAACATTATTCCAGTACATTAAGCTTCTCCTGCAACATATTTGATTGCCATCAACTTTACTTGTCTCTACTTGAAGATCTAAGTAAATTAGCACTTTTCAATTTGTATGGATAATAAAAAACCACACATAGTGAACTAGTGATAGGGAATTAGTAGTACACCTATCTAATTCCAAGTACAAAATCCCAAGGAAATATTTTTGGCCAATCAAGATAGAGGTTGTCGAGGTAAGAATTAAAAGCAGTGGACTAACCATTCAACCTTACGCATAAAATCCATGCTTGTGACAGATAAGCCATTTGCTAAAATTAAAGGTACATAGCCTTCACAAAAAAGACAATCTTATTCTCCCAAGTTTTTCCTCTAGAGCTCCAAGGCTCGCACACTATCAAGAAGTTGTATCATGCTTGCTTGACATCTCACCATGCAATAGAAGTGAGCATGAAGAATTAAACCATCATCTTATCAAAGAATCAAGATAGATGGGGGTGAGAATTGTCAAAACAATAAGAGTTTTATCCATGCATATATCCCCTCAGCAATGATACCGTTGATTTTGAAAAGGACAACCCATAGCGATCTAACTTAAAACTTTTAATATAAATAATACTTTGGTTATCATGCACATTTGCAAATGAAAAGCATTCATAATATTTACGTTCATTAACAGCAGCGAGATTTTCTGAAAGCATTAAATTGCACATGGTGCATATGCTTTTGGCCATAAGGCATATATGCCTTCTAATTTTTCAGGTTCAACAGAACTCGAAAAATATGATTACATCAGAAACCAGTTGTATTATCGTTATCACTTCAATAAAGATATTAATTTTAGCTAGCTCCGCTATACATGTGCCTGTCTCCACCCCAATGCATCCTACACTAGCCTCATTGTTAGGCCAACTCCTACTAAGCTATCACCAAAAAAAGGTAACGCATCCTGCTTCTAATTCTCAAGGTCATCTAATTGCGCGCTTCCATCTCCTTCCTTTTCTTTCACCCATCTTCATAAGAAATAAATAAATAAGCATAAAGTTTCTCTCCTGCCTTCCTCTTCTTAGCTAACTCATTCCATCTATTTCATGTAATCAACTTTGCCTGCTCTTTTCTTCTCCCAACATTAACCATCACAAATCAGAAGGTCGGGTAGACAGCAATGGTGGCAAGCAGCCCATAGTGCTAAAGTATGATGGGGAAAATAACATAGGAAAATAAATAAGGATGAAATCAAGTAAAGAGATGAAGCTAAAAATAATTAGACAAATGGATGGAGCTCTCCAATCCAATAACGTGGAAAACTGGTGGCATCTCAATCACAAGGTAAGTAAATCCTGCTCTAGCTATTATGCAGATCAAAAAGCATGCAATACTGATATTTACTGAATTTATATCTTACCTCAAAGCTAATCCCAACTATAAAATTTATCTTTATCCGATAAATAATGTATGTACATTCATCAATTTCAACCCCATGCACAATTCAGTGCTAAAATTAATTTATGTGGTTTGCACAAGTGCGCCAAAATCTAAGCATGTACGAATTATTTCTAATGCTGTCAATTACATTATAAATTAAAAGTAGCTTGTTAATCACTGGAATTTTAGTTGACCTGAAATTGTTATTGAATTGCTCAACTCGAAATAAACTCAATAAATGTAAAATTACAAATGTATATGTTTATGCTTACAAAAAATATGCATGAACACTACTACTAGATATAACTTTGTAAGAAAAATATCCAGTTCCATAAAACAATTTAAAAATATTACTAGTATAATAACATTTAGAAATTCAAAAAAAAGACCTCACTAAAATATATTATTGACTTCATTTGATCATTTTAAGTCGAAGTCGATTATTTTCGACTTGACTCAAATTTGCGAAAACCAAACTTTTCAATTTTGAGTTGAGACTGGCTCGCTCAAACTTTGCTCGACACCACATCTGGTTCTATCACTTTTGTTTGTATTATTCGATAAAAATAAATAGCAAATGAAAATGTAGACTATATCTTCTTTTGGCTGAAAGAAATTGTATAAAGCAAAGAGCTCGTCCATAACATACATGTCATAAATCACCTGAACCAAATATCTACCATGATACAAAAATTGCCCTTCTATTAAAAATTCACGCAAATTGCCTCTCTATTAAAATTACAAGAAGAGCATATAATTTCCATCAGTTAAATGTGAATATCCTAAAAATCCTATGTGCAATTAATGGGAAAGGTAAAAAAAAGTTCAAAAACTTGACTGTAGCATTCATTAACGATAAAATGATAGAATACTGCATGAGTCAAGCAATTGAAAAACAAGTTTTTTTATTCACTAAATTTATTTGCATAAGTAAGGCCACCTGATTGTCTTCTCTCAAAACTAGGAGCCTCATTCTCCATATCATTCAAATGCTCACGAGCCCTAGCAACAAATTTATGTAAATTATCCTTTTCAGATGGTTCGGTAACTAGCTTCTCTGCATCTTCAAATAGACTTAAGCCAGCAAGCCAAAATCCACGTGCTGTATATCTAGTTTGAAGAAGAGTAGCTACACGGCAAACTGTAGAATATATCTGTGACAAAAGGTAGGTGAGAGATTATATTAACAAGTTATAATTCCTAAGGTTGTTCAAATCTTTATTAATTTATAATACATGTTATTCAGCAAAACATGTGATTCAGCAAGATGATATTAAACAAGGATGCAATCATTGTAATATAAACTTTTTTTGCTCGAATCAAAAGAAATTTTGCAGGTTAGCTTTCCCCAAGTCTTAAAAGGAGGCAAGTTCATTTGTAGTAAGTGAAAAAAAAAATGGTAATTATACTTATATAATGAAGAGCAGAAAATACTCTTATCACAGTGACAGTGTAGTGATTTTAGATTAATATCATGCTATGTTATATTGTGCATTAACTTGATATGTCTATGAGCCTAACTGTATTTTAGAAATTTATAAGAGCCATTATGCATAAGAAATAGTTCTGAAGAAATCTAAAATGCAATTTTATGATACTAGTAAAACAAACATGGATTAAAAGCTGTTCACAAAATTATCCAAAAATCAAAAAGAAAATAGCCTTCATTCACATAAAATTGTAAGTTTCTAATTAATTTATTTTCATAGCATGCTTGACATGTTAAAAAAACTTATATATGAGAAGATTGGCAATCGCAAATATTTTGAGGTAATTAGGTTTATGTAAAGCGGTTATGAGGAAAGAAAAATAAAGCAAGCAGTATAGATTTATAACAATATTTCTACGCAAAATAAAGTAAATTGTCTCTTAATTATATTATAACTTTATCCATAAATAAATGAAATTGAATTAGCAATGAAGAAGGTTCATTAAGATAAAGCTTTGGATCCAAATAAGCAACCTATTAAGATATATGAAGTTGTAGAAGATACTAGAATAGCTTGATTAACAATTTTTTTAATTAATAATTAAAGGGTTGTTTGGTTTGCTGAAAAAAAAAATGCAATGTAAAATAAATGCAATCTAGAAGTAATGTATTGTATAAAATACTTTGAAGTTGCTCAGTTCAGTGTAAAATAAACTATGATTTTATATTTTCTTGATTGATTTAAAGTAGGGCGTAAACAATCTTTTTCAAAGTATGTAATGTTTTACATAAATTATTGATGTTAGTGTGTTAGCGGTGACAAGCTACAAGAGTTGGCCGGAGTGGCCAAGGTGACAATGCGGCTAGCAACACTATATAAAGCTATGTATGTGGAATTCGCTCAAATCCAGTAAATTTTAAATACACAGAAAATGAACTGAGAAATAAATTATAAATACATTCCTATTTCACACTGTATTTAATTCTTTCGGTCTGCATTTTCAAAACCCCTATAAAAGGAATGCAATGTACTCCTTTTGCAGTCAACCAAACAACGCCTAAATACTTAGAAGATATTAAATGGTTCAAGAATAAGCATTTAGGAAAATTCTACAATAAGAACTTAAATATTCAAGTTTTTTCAAGTCATAGGAGAATTAAAATTTGGATTCGTGAATATTTGACAAAGGAAACAGAACAACATCAAAAATTCAACTTGATTTTAAGCCAAGAAACTCAACTATGGATGTAATTTTCTTTTGTCAAGGAAATAAATAAAAAATAAAAAATAATGTAATGTATTCATATGGTAAAAATTGATAATAAAAAACAATGCTAATGGGTTCATGATATTCAATAACAAAGTATGCATCAAAAGTACATTGATGTTCTTACAATTACTACAACGGTATAATGCAACAATGAATAGTAAATAGGGGCAACTGTTAGGGTGGCTAAAGTGATGACATTTCATAGGTTTTAAACTAGACACGTGAATCCTTGTTTTCTAGGAATCGCGCGATCGAATTGTGTCATTCCACAAGATTTTCCCATATAAGCGGGAACCGGGGCAGAATCCCATCCCGATTTGCTTGTAGCAGGTCAGTTTCCTCGCTCGGAGTTTCTGCTGCAAGATATTTGAAAACTTTCTATTTTTATTCTTTCTATTTTTGAAGGGAAATTAGGGTTTCTTTCTAGCAAGGGGCTATTTATATCTAGTTTTTTCTAGTTTAAAGACTTTTGCTTTCATTATGAGCTTTGGAAATTGTAAATTATGGTTTCAACCTAATGGATTAATGTATCATTTTTCTTTGACAAGTGGTATGCTTGATGCTTGTTCAGAAACAGGTGGTGAACCTCCTCAACCTCCGTACCTCATCATTTTGACACTTTTGTTGTTTCAGCCTGGACAATCACCAAGCAATATTTATCACATCAAACTCGCGTACTCTCTTCTACACGTCATTCAACAACCCCTTCCCCTACAAAACTCATTTCTTAAATATCTTCTAAGAGCCCAAGATCTATATCATCTGGTAGCAAAGCTCGACAAGCCTTGTATCTTTAGAGTTTTATCTTCCTTATCTCATACCAAAATTCCAAATAACCTAACCTAACACCCCCACCAAAAGAAATTTTCCACAAATCGTTCCTTTCGCAATTTTTACCACCAAGCCTAACACTTCGAAAATCCAACTTTTCTGCCTCCACAAAAATTTCAACCTGACAATTATTCTTAAAACTTAAACCCTTTACCAACCTTAATTTATAATCCTACATCTATCGAAAACCTGATCAAGAGAAAAGATCATAGTGTTGCATAGGAGAAATCCGTAAAGAGGTGTTCGAGAGCTTATTATAGAGCATATACAGGAAAAAAATCATCCAAATGCAATGAGTTGTCGTCTGCGAGATGAGACAATCCGGTGATGCCACACGTAGCCACAAAGATGACTCGTCAGCTTGAGGGGATGAGGTGATTCCCTTTTATCATGGATTTTTCAGTGACGATGAACCACTACCTCGACAATTTAGCATAGAATAATAAAGGATAAGTTGTGATTTGGAGTGAAGATTGATTTGTTATATTTTGACAACCACATGAATCCGAACGAGTTTATTAAATAGCTCTAGATATTGAAACGGGTCTTTGAGTATAAAAATATTGTGTGTGACGGGAGGACCAAAGTTATGGCCATCAAGCTCAAAATGAACACTTCCTTGTGATGGGATAACCTAAAGCATCTTTCATAGTAGAAAAGGAATGATAAAATTACTACCTGATCCAAGATGAAATGAGATATGCAGTGCAAGTATCTATCAATTCATTGCAAACATGACATGTTCTTTAAACTTCATTACTTGCAACAACAAGATCTCTGATTAAAAAAATAAACAACTGAGTTCAAACAACTAATGTTAAAATGTGGGCTAGTGAAGCCTAAGGAGAGCACAACAACTAAATATCTGAGGGGATCGAGATCGTTTATTGAGAATGTAGTATTGTTGCAACCTTATTGGATATTTCAGAATGTTCAAAACCTAGCCCTGAAGGTAAAGAGAACACAACCATATCAAGTCTACACCATCATTCAAACAGAGATCAACCATGAGATCAAGTAGCAAGAGTACACCTCGAGAAGCACTCAAGCCGACCCAGCCAGAGGAGAAACCCGTACAGAGTGGAGAAAAAGTGGAGACCGCTAGTATTCTCAAATTCATCCCCACAAGTAAATGCTTCAAGTATCACAATTTTAGCCATGTGATATATGATTTCCCAAACACAGGGGCAATCTTTTTCACTAAGCAGGAAACAATTGAAAAAATTGGCAATGACACGGGAGAGCAAGAAGACGTCATAGAAGAGTCTCAACTTCAAGCTGATAAAAAAGAGATGAATTCAAGTTGAGCTCATGAGAGAGACTTCAATTGGATTAACATTTATTATAAAAGGTTGACTCCAGGAAACTAATATCATAAAAGAGACAACCCTTGATGAGAGAGTCGCCGAATAACTTGACCGACAGTTTACCTCTTGGGTGGCCGTCATTAAGAATTGTCCAGCATGCCGCAGACTTCATTCTAAAGTTAGTTTCTCCGAACAAGCTTGTTCCTTGGATGCACCCATCCGATTACGAGAAATTGGAGAAACATATTACATATTTAATGGCTCGAGATTTGATTCATGAGAATACCCGTCTATGTGCAATTCTAGCTCAGGTTACCAAAGAATAAATGGTTACATATTCCATCAGAACAAGATTTGAAAAACTTATGATTCAGAATTACCTTAGGTAAATGAAAGCATAGACTTTATTGAGGAGCTTCCCCAATCCGAATTGTGCAATGACTTTGTTATGGTAGAAAATCAATTATAGAAGCTTATTAGGAGGAAAACGAAGCTCCTCCTACCTGAAAGATTGATGTGAGACACGCAAACGTAAGGGGAATTGTTGGGGGCAAGCTAGATGTGGGAATCCTCATGATCCCAAAATCATGGGATAGAATCGTGACGATTCACATGATTTTCTAGCATAAGTAGGAACCGGGACAGAATTCCATCCATATTAGCCTGTAGTGAACTCCTTACCCGAATTTTCTACAGCAAGATATTTGAAGATTTTATATTTTTATTTTTTTTCTATTTTTTAATCCTAATTAGAGTTTTTTCTAGCAGGGGCTATTTATATCTTATTTTTTCCCTTGTTTAGAGATTTTTCCTTTGTTTGTGAGTTTTGAAGATTGTAATATATGGTTTCTACCTAACGGAGTGTTGTATCCTTTTCTTTTGCAAGTGGTGTGTTCGTAGCTTGCCCAGAAATAGGCGGCAAACCTTTTTAACATTTGTATCTCATTATTTCGACAAACACTAAGTGATATTTAAACCCATCCAAACTCCATCGAACTCGTGTATTATCTTTCTCTTGCCATTGCATAATCCCCTCCTAACAAAAATTGATTCCTAAATATCTTCTAGAAGCCTATATATATATATATATATATATTTAAAAAAAGACAAATGACTAATATATTAAAGAGAAAGGTACAGATAGTTCAGTACGGGTGGGCCTAAACACCCAACCCACAAGGTACAACACACAAAAAAATTTAAAAGATTGGTACATATAGAAATCAAAAAAGCCCAAAAAACCACCCGGGCGCTGAAAAAGTGTGAGTCATCCCAATCTAGTCTTGCCTCTGGCTCGAGTTCTCGGTAAGGATCCAGCTAGCAGATTGATAAGGTACTGACCATTACCCGTAGTGACCAAAGTATCGTCCATAAGACTTCTGAACTCTAGTAGATCTCTATTCTTCTTCTTACTCCTGGAAGTGTAAACCTGTCATTCCTCCTCCGAAGAATCAAGCTGATGGGGTAGAGCTGAAGCAGAAGGAATACCGACAGTAGTACCCACAATAGGTTCTAGAATATGTGAAGTATGAGTTGCCTCTACACTGGATACTTCTTGAAGAAGTGGAGCTACGAGGCTCTGCTGATAATCAGTCTGAACACTATCATTTATAGGTAATAGTCCAGCAGTATTGTTTTTATGGAGTTTGCACCGCATCACTCGCAGTAACAGTAACGGCAGTGTCATGGGGGGTCCTCAGGGGCAACAGACACCTTCTGTCTGGTATTATCCTCCTCAGGTAGAACTAAAATGTCCACAACAGTGGGCTTAAACACTTCCTTATTCACTTGAACCTTAGATTTCAAATTAGTATGAAGCTTGTGGCATTTAACAAGGATATGACCAAACATCTTACAGTGGGTACAATATGGGGGTTTGAGTTACATGATAATTTGTTATCAATAACCATTACAGGTTGTGTCCGGCCAAACTTCAGTAACATCAGGTAAAGTAACATCCCTTTCCATAAGAATTCTGGCCACCGAGGGTCTAGTTAGGTTGAAAGTAGGCAGAACTAGTTTCAAAGGATCCCCAAGGATGGCCCCAATGGAGTAGAGAACCTGATTGTGAAAAAAATTCAACTTGAGACCTGATAAACTAAACCATACTGATACAGTGAGAGTTTCATAATTTGGGTCGAAATTAGGAGACCACTTGAGTAACTTCATTAATTTGTCTTCGATCTTAAGATATTTCTTGAAGAAAATTATAATGTAGTCTTCAGTCACTGTTAGTTGGATCAACACATGTCTTTCATCCATGAGTCTTACTTTCCACTTGACTGCTAGCTTAAGATCATCAACACTCTTT